TTGTGTTGTTTAAGTGTTCCCTTTATTTTTTTGAGCAGTGTATATACACAGACACACCTTATTTACATAAGTATTCAGACCCTTTGCTATGAGACTCGAGATTGAGCTCAGGTGCATCCTGTTTCCATTTATCATCCTTGAGATGTTTCTGCAACTTGATTGGAGTCCACCTGTAGTGAATTCAATTGATTGGACATGATTTGGAAAGGCACACACCTGTCTATATAAGGTCCCACAGTTGACCGTGCATGTCAGAGCAAAAACCAAGTCATGAGGTCGAAGGAATTGTCCGTAGAGCTCAGACAGGATTGTGTCGAGGCACAGATCTGGGGAACGGTAGCAAAACAATTCTGCAGCATTGAAGGTCCCCAAGAACACAGTGGCCTCCATCATTCTTAAATGGAAGACGTTTGGAACCACCAAGACTCTTCCTAAAGCTGGCTGCCCAGTCATACTGAGCAATCGGGGGAGAAGGGCCTTGGTCAGGGAGGTGACCAAGAACCCGATGGTCACTCTGACAGAGCTCCAGAGTTCCTTTGTGGAGATGGGAGAACCTTCCAGAAGGACAACCATCTCTGCAGCACTCCACCAATCAGGCCTTTATGGTCGAGTGGCCAGACGGAAGCCACTCCTCAGTAAAAAGCACATGACAGCCCCCTTGAATTTGCAAAATGGCACCTAAAGGACTCAGATCATGAGAAACAAGATTCTCTGGTCTGATGAAACCAAGTTTAAACTCTTTGCCCTGAATGCCAAGCGTCACGTCTGCAGGAAACCTGGCACCATCCCTACGGTGAAGCATGATGGTGGCAGCATCATGCTGTGGGGATGTTTTTCAGCGGCAGGGACTGGGTGACTAGTCAGGATCAAGGGAAAGATGAATGGAGCAAAGTACAGAGAGATCCTTGATGAAAACCTGCTCCAGAGCGCTCAGGACCTCAGACTGGGGTGAAGGTTCACCTTCCAACAGGCAACGACCCTAAGCACACAGCCAAGACAATGCAGGAGTGGTTTCGGGACAAGTCTCTGAATGTCCTTGAGTGGCCCAGCCCGAGCCCGGACTTGAACCCGATCAAACATCTCTGGAGAGACCTGAAAATAGTTGTGCAGCGACGCTCCCCATCCAACCTGACAGAGCTTGAGAGGATCTGCTGAGAAGAATGGGAGAAACTCCCCAAATACAGGTGTGCCAAGCTTGTAGCGTCATACCCAAGAAGACTTGAGGCTGTAATCGCTGCCAAAGGTGCTTCAACAAAGTACTTAGTAAAGGGTCTGAATACTTAAGTGATATTACCATTTTTTTAAAATATACATTTGCAAACATTTCTAAAAACCTGTTTTGCTTTGTCATTACGGGGTATTGTGTGTAGATTGATGAGGGGAAAAAACAATTGAATCAATTTTAGAATAAGGCTGTAACGTAACAAAATGTGGAAAAAGTCAAGGGGTCTGAATACTTTTTGAATGCACTGTATAAATGGGTTGAGGTCAGAGGAGAGAGCCTGGTCAGTAGAGAAGATGAGTGATGGGGGACAGCGGAGGACAGTCGGGTGATGTTAGGGCAAGAGATTAGAAGAGATGGGCAACAGACTGTACAGTCGTGGTCAAAGGTTTTGAGAATGACACAAATGCTAATTTTCACAAAGTCTGCTGCCTCAGTTTTGATGATGGCAATTTGCATATACTCCAGAATGTCATGAAGAGTGATCAGATTAATTGCAATTAATTGCAAAGTCCCTCTTTGCCATGAGAATAAACATTTCCACTGCATTTCAGCCCTGCCACAAAAGGACCAGCTGCCATCATGTCAGTGATTATTTCGTTAACACAGGTGAGAGTGTTGACGAGGACAAGGCTGGAGATCACTCTGTCATGCTGATTGAGTTAGAATAACAGACTGGAAGCTTTAAAAGGAGGGTGGTGCTTGAAATCATTGTTCTTCCTCTGTTAACCATGGTTACCTGCAAGGAAACACGTGCCATCATCATTGCTTTGCACAAAAAGGGCTTCACAGGCAAGGATATTGCTGCTAGTAAGATTGCACCTAAATCAACCATTTATCGGATCATCAAGAACTTCAAGGAGAGAGGTTCAATTGTTGTGAAGAAGGCGTCAGGGCACCCAAGAAAGTCCAGCAAGTGCCAGGACCGTCTCCTAAAGTTGATTCGGCTACGGGATCGGGGCACCACCAGTGCAGAGCTTGCTCAGGAATGGCAGCAGGCAGGTGTGAGTGCATCTGCACGCACAGTGAGGCGAAGACTTTTGGAGGATGGCCTGGTGTCAAGAAGGGCAGCAAAGAAGTGTATGTATATATATATCTATATATATATATATATATACAGTGGGGAAAAAAAGTATTTAGTCAGCCACCAATTGTGCAAGTTCTCCCACTTAAAAATATGAGAGAGGCCTGTAATTTTCATCATAGGTCCACGTCAACTATGACAGAGAAAATGAGGAAAAAAAATCCAGAAAATCACATTGTAAGGTTTTTAATGAATTTATTTGCAAATTATGGTGGAAAATAAGTATTTGGTCAATAACAAAAGTTTCTCAATACTTTGTTATATACCCTTTGTTGGCAATGACACAGGTCAAACGTTTTCTGTAAGTCTTCACAAGGTTTTCACACACTGTTGCTGGTATTTTGGCCCATTCCTCCATGCAGATCTCCTCTAGAGCAGTGATGTTTTGGGGCTGCCGCTGGGCAATACGGACTTTCAACTCCCGCCAAAGATTTTCTATGGGGTTGAGATCTGGAGACTGGCTAGGCCACTCCAGGACCTTGAAATGCTTCTTACGAAGCCACTCCTTCGTTGCCCGGGCGGTGTGTTTGGGATCATTGTCATGCTGAAAGACCCAGCCACGTTTCATCTTCAATGCCCTTGCTGATGGAAGGAGGTTTTCACTCAAAATCTCACGTTACATGGCCCCATTCATTGTTTCCTTTACACGGATCAGTCGTCCTGGTCCCTTTGCAGAAAAACAGCCCCAAAGCATGATGTTTCCACCCCCATGCTTCACAGTAGGTATGGTGTTCTTTGGATGCAACTCAGCATTCTTTGTCCTCCAAACACGACGAGTTGAGTTTTTACCAAAAAGTTCTATTTTGGTTTCATCTGACCATATGACATTTTCCCAATCCTCTTCTGGATGCACTCTAGCAAACTTCAGACGGGCCTGGACATGTACTGGCTTAAGCAGGGGGACACGTCTAGCACTGCAGGATTTGAGTCCCTGGCGGCGTAGTGTGTTACTGATGGTAGGCTTTGTTACTTTGGTCCCAGCTCTCTGCAGGTCATTCACTAGGTCCCCCCGTGTGGTTCTGGGATTTCTGCTCACCGTTCTTGTGATCATTTTGACCCCACGGGGTGAGATCTTGCATGGAGCCCCAGATCGAGGGAGATTATCAGTGGTCTTGTATGTCTTCCATTTCCTAATAATTGCTCCCACAGTTGATTTCTTCAAACCAAGCTGCTTACCTATTGCAGATGCAGTCTTCCCAGCCTGGTGCAGGTCTACAATTTTGTTTCTGGTGTCCTTTGACAGCTCTTTGGTCTTGGCCATAGTGGAGTTAGGAGTGTGACTGTTTGAGGTTGTGGACAGGTGTCTTTTATACTGATAACAAGTTCAAACAGGTGCCATTACTACAGGTAACGAGTGGAGGACAGAGGAGCCTCTTAAAGAAGAAGTTACAGGTCTGTGAGAGCCAGAAATCTTGCTTCTTTGTAGGTGACCAAATACTTATTTTCCACCATAATTTGCAAATAAATTCATTAAAAATCCTACAATGTGATTTTCTGGATTTTTTTTTCTCATTTTGTCTGTCATAGTTGACGTGTACCTATGATGAAAATTACAGGCCTCTCTCATCTTTTTAAGTGGGAGAACTTGCACAATTGGTGGCTGACTAAATACTTTTTTTCCCCACTGTATATATATATATATATATATGTTACAATCTATCTGCAATATTAAGCTGATCCACCCCCTAAAAAAAAAAAAAGATTAAAAAGAGAAAATAATATTTTGAAAAAATAATTTCACAAAAATAGAAGAAAAAAAAAGTAGCCACTTCTCTCCAGGAAAAACATCAGGGACAGACTGATATTCTGCAAAAGGTACAGGGATTGGACTGCTGATTCTGATGAATCCCCTTTCCGATTGTTTGGGGCATCCGGAAAACACCTTGTCCGGAAAAGACAGTCCTGTCATGCCAACAGTAAAGCATCCTGAGACCATTCATGTGTGGGGTTGCTTCTCAGCCAAGGGAGTGGGCTCACTCACATTTTTTTGCCTAAGAACACAGCCATGAATAAAGAATGGTACCAACACATCCTCCGAGAGCAACTTCTCCCAACCATCCAAGAACAGTTTGGTGACGAACAATGCCTTTTCCAGCATGATGGAGCACCTTGCCATAAGGCAAAAGTGATAACTAAGTGGCTCGGGGAACAAAACATTGACAGTTTGGGTCCATGGCCAGGAAACTCCCCAGACCTTAATCCCATTGAGAACTTGTGGTCGATCCTCAAGAGGCGGGTGGACAAACAAAAACCCACAAATTCTGACAAACTCCAAGCATTGATTATGCAAGAATGGGCTGCCATCAGTCAGGATGTGGTCCAGAAGTTAATTGACAGCATGCCAGGGCGGATTGCAGAGGTCTTGAAAAAGAAGGGTCAACACTGCAAATATTGACTCTTTGCATAAACTTAATGTAATTGTCAATAAAAGCCTTTGACACTTATGGAATGCTTGTAATTATACTTCAGTATACCATAGTAACATCTGACAAAAATATCTCATAACACTGAAGCAGCGAACTTTGTGAAGACCAATACTTGTGTCATTCTCAAAACTTTTGACCACGACTGTAGTGGCAGAATGTAGTCGTTTACAACATGACAGCCTCTTAGTAAACGTCACACAACCCCCCCCCACCCCCGCCTGGAAATATACACTTTCTACCAGACCAAGAACATAGTGATCCGTCCTACCTGTATGAGAGACTTGACGCTGGGCTGGAACACCATGTTGGTGTTGAGGAGGAAGGATCGGAGCAGGGGCTGAGGGTAGCAGGCAAGCTGGCCCAGAATCCCTGTCAGCAGGATGTTTACATACAGAGAGTTCTGGAGCATGTTCTCCAGCTTGGCAAACAGAACCACCATAAACGGACCTGACGGGGGAGGGAGAGAGAGAGATAGGGAGGGAGAGAACGTGAGAATGGAGGGAGGGAGGGAGAGGGTGCACCTGCACACCAGCGGAAGGCTAGATCCAACATGAAAAAACAGGCAACACTAAATATCAAAGGAAGCAACTGTCAGTATTAATTTACTGTGTCACATCACCAAACATCAATTATAAAACTGTCAGTATTAATTTACTGTGCCACACCAAACATCAAGCATAAAACAGTGAACAAAAAGAAAACCTAAAGCCATCATCAAAAGTAAAACAATTGAGCATCATCCAACATCAATCAATATCCTCCAACATCAATCAATATCCTCCAACATCAATCAATATCCTCCAACATCAATCAATATCCTCCAACATCAAACACCAAATCAATATTTGGCAACTGACATCATCCACATAAACAACTTTAGAGAAGACAATATCAACAGTCTGATACACATTACACACACACACAGCACTGTACTGTGGTGGTCCTTCTCACCTGTGTAGGGCTGAGAGGATGACTGTCCTAGAGGCCTGGCAGGGCTGAACACCCCCACAGCTGACCCCACTCCCTTGAGCTCCACTCCAGCCCCTGTCCCAGTCCCCATCAGGTCAGTGTCCAGGGGCGAGGGGGGCGGTGGTTCCTCTGGGAGGGGGTCTCTGGTGGTCTCCTCCAGCTGTCTGAGCAGCCCCGCCCCCCTGCTCCTCTCCATCACCCTCTCCTCCAGCTCCCGGAGTTCCTGGGTGAAGGCCTCGATGCTGATGCCCTGGCTGTTGGAGTCCCCAGGCCCCGGCTGCCCCTCCTCCCCCGGCCCAGCCCCATCCAGGAGCTCAGAGATCAGCCGCTCCACTGCTTCTGACTGGTTAGAGAGCGTTGCCTCTGGACGTCCCGATCCCGATCCAGGGCCGGGTGCAGGGATGTGGACCTGAGGGGTCAGGCTGACGTTGGAGGGGTTGGTACGGGTTGCTGAGGGCCGTGGAGTAGGCTGATGCTGGGTGTGACTCTGTACGTGTGGTGGAAGACCTCTGGAGCTTTCCCCAGCCACACTGCAGTTCCCTTCACTGTGCAAGCCCTGTAGGGGCCCACAGGACTGGGCCGGGGTAGGGCAGGCACCAACCACGACGTTCCGACTAGAGTCACCCCCCGCAGGTTGCCGCTGCTCACCCAAATCTCTCTTCACCTTCTTAACCTCCATCCCTCCATCCTGGCTGTCCCCATTGAAGACGGCCTGGTGAGGGCCTGTGGTGGGGGCGGAGGGATCAGGAACGGAGGCAGAGGTAGAGTCGGGAAGGAGATGAAGAGGTTTGGGGAGGGTGACCTCCTCTCTCTGCAGGCAGCGTTTCTTGGTGCGAGGCGTGAGGCTGATAGAACAGTTGTTCTTACAGATGGTGACGTCCCACTCTCCACTGTCCCTCTCTGTACTGGTCCACTCTGACCGCGCTGCTGCCACCACCGTTGCCCTCTGCTGGCCGGGAGAGTTACTACCTCCTCCTCCACCACCACCACCTCCTCCTCCTCCCTGCTGGAAGGAGAAGTGTTCTGGGAACATGGCCAGGGAGGGGTTGGAGGTGGGGATTGGGGGCGGTAGGGGGGCCATGTTGGGCGAGGGGTCCTCTCCATCATAGGGGGCTGACCAGTTCCGGCAGGCCCAGGAGCACAACTCTACCCCCCTACGGGCGTCCCTGAGGTACTCCAGGTACCCCGACTCCCAGTCCAGCCCCTCTGGGACGGGGTGCATGGGGCTGTCGGGGGACAGGGGGGTGCTGGGGCCCCCGCGGGGGGACGAGGGGTCCGTCTTAGTGGGGGAGGGGGTGGAGGGCAGTGCAGTGCTCTGCTGGCGCATGAAGAGGGCCAGGCGGGACGGAGTGCTGGGTTTGGGGTGTACGGGAGACTCTGAGCTGGGACTATTCAGTACTACAGACAGAAGGACAGGGAGAGACAGAGAAACGGATGGACGGATAGGGGGAGACAGACAGAGACAGACAGAGAGATATATAGGGAGAGACAGACAGACAGGGGGAGACAGAAACAGACAGACAGACAGACAGACAGACAGAGGGAGACAGAAGTCGGGAGACAGACAGACAGATGGGGGAGACAGACAGACAGACGGGGGAGACAGACGGACGGACAGAGAGGGGGAGACAGACGGACAGAGACAGACGGGCAGAGAAAGACAGACGGGCAGAGAAAGACAGACGGGGGGAGAGAGACAGACGGGGGGGAGAGAGACAGACGGGGGGAGAGAGACAGACGGGGGGAGAGAGACAGACGGGGGGAGAGAGACAGACAGAGAGCACATAACAGGGAGGAACGTCAGTCATGGTTATCCAGTAACATGTACACTTATAGTTCAACTCTGTCCAACTCTAACACAACACCATGGTTTACCTGCTCCTATTGTTTATGTCTTATTTCTTATTAATAAGGTACATTGTAGGATGCTCTGGATAAGAGACATGTGTCACAACCCCCCACAGGAGACCAGGGATCAACCCCCCACAGGAGACCAGGGATCAACCCCCCACAGGAGACCAGGGATCAACCCCCCACAGGAGACCAGGGATCAAACCCCCCAAGGGAGATCAGGGATCAACCCCCCAAAGGAGACCAGGGATCAACCCCCCACATGAGACCAGGGATCAACCCCCCACAGGAGACCAGGGATCAACCCCCCACAGGAGACCAGGGATCAACCCCCCACAGGACACCAGGGATCAACCCCCCACAGGACACCAGGGATCAACCCCCCACAGGACACCAGGGATCAACCCCCCACAGGACACCAGGGATCAACCCCCCACAGGACACCAGGGATCAACCCCCCACAGGACACCAGGGATCAACCCCCCCACAGGAGACCAGGGATCAACCCCCCACAGAACATCAGGGATCAACCCCCCACAGGAGACCAGGGATCAACCCCCCACAGGTGACCAGGGATCAACCCCCCACAGGTGACCAGGGATCAACCCCCCACAGGAGACCAGGGATCAACCCCCCACAGGAGACCAGGGATCAACCCCCCACAGGAGACCAGGGATCAACCCCCCACAGGAGACCAGGGATCAACCCCCCACAGGAGACCAGGGATCAACCCCCCACAGGAGACCAGGGATCAACCCCCCACAGGAGACCAGGGATCAAACCCCCACAGGAGACCAGGGATCAACCCCCACAGAACACCAGGGATCAACCCCCAACAGGAGACCAGGGATCAAACCCCACAGAACAACAGGGATCAACCCCCCACAGGAGACCAGGGATTTAAAAAAACACAGGAGACCAGGGATAAAACCCCCACAGGAGACCAGGGATCAACCCCCCACAGGAGACCAGGGATCAACCCCCCACAGGAGACCAGGGATCAACCCCCCACAGGAGACCAGGGATCAACACCCCACAGGACACCAGGGATCAACACCCCACAGGACACCTGGGATCAACCCCCCACAGGAGATCAGAATCAACCCCCCCACAGGAGATCAGGGATCAACCCCCCACAGGAGATCAGGGATCAACCCCCCACAGGAGACCAGGGAACAACCCCCCACAGGAGACCAGGGATCAACCCCCCACAGGAGACCAGGGATCAACCCCCACAGAACACCAGGGATCAAACCCCCACAGGACACCAGGGATCAACCCCCCACAGGACACCAGGGATCAACCCCCCACAGAAGACCAGGGATCAAACCCCCACAGGAGACCATGGATCAACCCCCCACATGAGACCAGGGATCAACCCCCCACAGCAGACCAGAGATCAACCCCCCACAGGAGACCAGGGATCAACCCCCCACAGGAGACCAGGGATCAACACCCCACAGGACACCAGGGATCAACCCCCCACATGAGACCAGGGACCAACCCTCCACAGGAGACTAGGGGTCAAACCCCCACAGGAGAGCAGGGATTAACCCCCCACAGGAGACCAGGGATCAACCCCCAACAGGAGACCAGGGATCAACCCCCCACAGGAGACCAGGGATGAAACCCCCTACAGGAGACCAGGGATCAACCCCCCACAGGACACCAGGGATCAAACACCCACATGAGACCAGGGACCAACCCTCCACAGGAGACTAGGGGTCAAACCCCCACAGGAGAGCAGGGATTAACCCCCCACAGGAGACCAGGGATCAAACCCCCACAGGAGACCAGAGATCAACCCCCCACAGAAGAACAGGGATCATACCCCCACAGGAGACCAGGGATCAACCCCCCCACAGGAGACCAGGGATCAACCCCCCCACAGGAGACCAGGGATCAACCCCCCACAAGAGATCAGGGATCAACCCCCCACAGGAGACCAGGGATCAACCCCCCACAGGAGACCAGGAATCAACCCCACACAGGAGACCAGGGATCAACCCCCCACAAGAGATCAGGGATCAACCCCACACAGGAGTCCAGGGATCAAATCCCCACAGGAGATCAGGGATCAACCCCACACAGGAGTCCAGGGATTAACCCCACACAGGAGACCAGGGATCAACCCCCCACAAGAGACCAGGGATCAACACCCCACAGGAGACCAGGGATCAACCCCCCCACAGGAGACCAGGGATCAACCCCCACAGGACACCAGGGATCAACCCCCACAGGACACCAGGGATCAACCCCCCACAGGAGACCAGGGATCAACTCCCCACAGGAGATCAGGGATCAACCCCGCACAGAAGACCATGGATCAACCCCCCCACAGGACACCAGGGATCAACCCCCCACAGGAGACCAAGGGTCATTCCCTGCGTCCAACCTTCCCACTGTTTCTCCCATTTGCCGGTCTCCCCATCTAATTTCCTTACTGTCTGAATAAAGTGTAAATAAAACTTTAAAAAAGGTGCCCAGTTGGTTACCTTTCCCACAGAGAGCAGGTTCTTCCTCCCGCTCAGCAGGGGGCAGTGTGCTAAGGCGGCAGCACTCTGGGATGAGGGACAGGAACTTGTCAGCTGATTTACCATAGAGATCCGTCTCCCTGACGGCACGCCTCTGACTCAACATCACATGGGTACAGGGCACAAGATACCTGCACGACAACAATACACTTTGACTACACATGTATTTCATATAGACTACACATGTATTTCATATAGACTACACATGTATTTCATATAGACTACACATGCATTTCATATAGACTATGCATGTATTTCATATAGACTACGCATGCATTTCATATAGACTACACATGCATTTCATATAGACTATGCATGTATTTCATATAGACTATGCATGTATTTCATATAGACTACGCATGCATTTCATATAGACTACACATGCATTTCATATAGACTACACATGCATTTCATATAGACTATGCATGTATTTCATATAGACTACACATGTATTTCATATAGACTACACATGCATTTCATATAGACTACGCATGTATTTCATATAGACTGCACATGTATTTCATATAGACTACACATGTATTTCATATAGACTACGCATGCATTTCATATAGACTACACATGCATTTCATATAGACTATGCATGTATTTCATATAGACTACACATGTATTTCATATAGACTACACATGCATTTCATATAGACTATGCATGTATTTCATATAGACTACACATGTATTTCATATAGACTACACATGCATTTCATATAGACTACGCATGTATTTCATATAGACTGCACATGTATTTCATATAGACTACACATGTATTTCATATAGACTACGCATGCATTTCATATAGACTACACATGCATTTCATATAGACTATGCATGTATTTCATATAGACTACACATGTATTTCATATAGACTACACATGCATTTCATATAGACTATGCATGTATTTCATATAGACTACACATGTATTTCATATAGACTACACATGCATTTCATATAGACTACGCATGTATTTCATATAGACTACACATGTATTTCATATAGACTACACATGCATTTCATATAGACTATGCATGTATTTCATATAGACTACACATGTATTTCATATAGACTACACATGCATTTCATATAGACTACGCATGTATTTCATATAGACTACACATGTATTTCATATATGGTCAACCAGCTTTATAATAAACAGTGAGTGACACACACACACACACACACACACACACACACACACACACACACACAGTTTCTACCTGAGAACCAACTGCAACATGAGGTCTTCACAGTTGAGAGAGAGCAGAGTCCTGAATAGGCTCAAAGACACCATACACAGCTGCAGGAGAGAAGCACCAGAACATTAGCCACAGGTAGAGACACCAGAACATTAGCCACAGGTAGAGACACCAGAACATTAGCCACAGGTAGAGACACCAGAACATTAGCCACAGGTAGAGACACCAGAACATTAGCCACAGGTAGAGACACCAGAACATTAGCCACAGGTAGAGAAGCACCAGAACATTAGCCACAGGTAGAGACACCAGAACATTAGCCACAGGTAGAGACACCAGAACATTAGCCACAGGTAGAGACACCAGAACATTAGCCACAGGTAGAGACACCAGAACATTAGCCACAGGTAGAGACACCAGAACATTAGCCACAGGTAGAGAAGCACCAGAACATTAGCCACGGTAGAGACACCAGAACATTAGCCACAGGTAGAGACACCAGAACATTAGCCACAGGTAGAGACACCAGAACATTAGCCACAGGTAGAGACACCAGAACATTAGCCACAGGTAGAGAAGCACCAGAACATTAGCCACAGGTAGAGAAGCACCAGAACATTAGCCACAGGTAGAGACACCAGAACATTAGCCACAGGTAGAGACACCAGAACATTAGCCACAGGTAGAGACACCAGAACATTAGCCACAGGTAGAGACACCAGAACATTAGCCACAGGTAGAGACACCAGAACATTAGCCACAGGTAGAGAAGCACCAGAACATTAGCCACAGGTAGAGAAGCACCAGAACATTAGCCACAGGTAGAGAAGCACCAGAACATTAGCCACAGGTAGAGACACCAGAACATTAGCCACAGGTAGAGACACCAGAACATAGCCACAGGTAGAGACACCAGAACATTAGCACAGGTAGGACACCAGAACATTAGCCACAGGTAGAGAAGCACCAGAACATTAGCCACAGGTAGAGACACCAGAACATTAGCCCAGGTAGAGAAGCACCAGAACATTAGCCACAGGTAGAGACACCAGAACATTAGCCACAGGTAGAGGACAACAGAACATTAGCCACAGGTAGAGACACCAGAACATTAGCCACAGTAGAGACACCAGAACATAGCCACAGGTAGAGACACCAGAACATTAGCCACAGGTAGAGACACCAGAACATTAGCCACAGGTAGAGACACCAGAACATTAGCCACAGGTAGAGACACCAGAACATTAGCCACAGGTAGAGACACCAGAACATTAGCCACAGGTAGAGACACCAGAACATTAGCCACAGGTAGAGACACCAGAACATTAGCCACAGGTAGAGACACCAGAACATTAGCCACAGGTAGAGACACCAGAACATTAGCCACAGGTAGAGACACCAGAACATTAGCCACAGGTAGAGACACCAGAACATTAGCCACAGGTAGAGAAGCACCAGAACATTAGCCACAGGTAGAGACAGGTAGAAACACATGATGGAAGCAGAATACCTTTGCAATGCATATTTGTGTTTGGGTTAGAGACCATTTCCTAGATGAATTACTTGTTTAATTCATTTAACTTACTATGACTGTGATATGTGGTTGTCTCAACTAGCTACCTTAAGATATATTCACTAACCGTAAGTCTGGACAAGAGACTCTGTTAAATGACTTAAATGTAAAATGTAAATGTTATTAATTAAGGATGTGCATCTCTCCTTTCATGAACGATTCGGGGGGGGGGGGGAATTAATGTTCCCCCCCCCCAAAAACCCCAAAATTTTTGATCTAAAATAAAACCAAAACCAATTACCCAACTAAACCCCCCCCTTAAACCCATTTGATCTGAAATCACCATCACCCACTGATTAAACTGGTCATTTGATCTGAAATCACCATCACCCACTGATTAACTGGTCATTTGATCTGAAATCACCATCACCCACTGATTAACTGGTCATTTGATCTGAAATCACCATCACCCACTGATTAACTGGTCATTTGATCTGAAATCACCATCACCCACTGATTAACTGGTCATTTGATCTGAAAATCACCATCACCCACTGATTAACTGGTCTAGACCGTTTGGAATTTGGAATGCGAAATTATTGCTGTCCTTTATGAGATTAGGGTCCTACCCTGTTCATGTAAAAACTACCTGGTACACAGACTGTTTAAACCAAAACTATTTCTGATGGTGAACCTGGACAATCTAAATAAAATGGGAATCATTAAAAACCCCAATCAGCAGTTGGATGTGAGTTGCGTCCACTCCGGCAGGCTTCACAACTCCGGTAAAACACCATTTTCTACAGCGCATTTGGTAACAATGACCCAGCAAATTACACTGGTTGTCACTCAACTAATAAACCTTAGGATTTGACATTGCGAAAGCCATTTTACAAGCATTTGAATGCTGAAGGTGCCAGATGTAAGCATAGCCTATCAGAAGAACAGGGGTAGGCCTAAATCTTGTTGACGCGATCAGCTGTGTCTCCCCCGCACTGTGCATACTTATCTGACAGTCAAACGCTGTCACACGCATTCAAGTTTGATAGGTTACTGAACTGAAGGAGAGGACGCATCAATTCAGTCACAACAGATAAGAAATATTAGTGAACCGGCGATTCGTAACATTTGTATCGGTTTTCTGACCAACGCAATAAATCGGTTTGGGCTCCCGCGGACCTGATCCACTGGTATCTGAAACATTTGAACCGAGGACCGATGCGTGTCGGTGAGTCGTTACATCCCAACTATTAACCGTGTCATCTCGTTCCACCACACAATGTTCTGTTACTACTGACTCTTGAGTTGCTGCTGATGCGAGTCAGCAAGGTGTCCAGGATGGTGTCGTTGTCATGGCGATGCATGAGGATGAAGCGCAGGAAGGTTTTGAGGAGAGCCGTTTCCGTGACGCTGCGCAGGAACAGATCCAGGTAGGCTGTGCTGGCTATCATCTCATCTACAGACGACTGGAGGGTGGGAGAGAGAGAGGGAGATGGGGAGAAGGGGCGAGGGGAGAGGAGTGGGGGGAGGAGGGGGGGAGAGAGAGAGAGAGGAGAGAGAGAGGGGGAGGAGAGGAGAGAGAGAAGGGGGATGAGCTATATACCGAGAGTAGGGATGCGGAGAGAGGAGAGGGGGGGGAGAGCAGAAAGCTAGAGGGGGGGGGAGGGAGCGAGAGGAGGAGAGAGGAGAGAAGAGGAGTCGAGACCAGAGACGAGAGAGCGAGAGAGAATGGAGAGAGCCGAAGAAGAGAAGAGAGGGGAGCGGATTGAGGAGCGAGAGAGGCCTGAGGGGGAGAGAGCCGAGCCTTGAGGAGCTCATGGAGAGACGGGCTTGCAATTGCCCGATGAGGGACTGGTAGACGGAGAGACCGAGGGGGGGGGACGAGAGTGGGAGAGAGAGAGGAGAGGGAGAGAGAGAGACCGAGAGCAGAGGGAGAGAGAGGAGGAGCAGGAGAGAGAGACCTCTCTGAGAGAGAGATTTGAGAGAGAGCGACGACCCGATGAGGAGGGAGAGGGAAGGAAAGAGCGGGAGAGGAATGAGAGAGAGGAGAGAGGAGCGAGGAGGGGGAAGAGAGGAGAAAGAGAGAGAGGGAGGGGATGAGAGGGAGAGAGAGGGAGAGAGTGAGAGCGGAAAGAGTGAAGAGGGGGGAGAGAGAGGAGAGAGGAGGGAGAGAGTAGAGAGAGGAGAGAGGAGAGAGAGAGGGGGAGAGGAGAGGGAGAGAGAGAGAGAGGATGAACAATGCATGAACATTTACATTTTGGTCATTTAGCAGATGCTCTTATCCAGAGCGACTTACTGTAGTGAGTGCATACATTTTCATACTTTTTATATATATATATATACACAGTGGGGGAAAAAAGTATTTAGTCAGCCACCAATTGTGCAAGTTCTCCCACTTAAAAAGATGAGAGAGGCCTGTAATTTCCATCATAGGTACACATCAACTATGACAGACAAATTGAGGAAAAAAAATCCAGAAAATCACATTGTAGGATTTTTAATGAATTTATTTGCAAATTATGGTGGAAAATAAGTATTTGGTCAATAACAAAAGTTTCTCAATACTTTGTTATATACCCTTTGTTGGCAATGACACAGGTCAAACGTTTTCTGTAAGTCTTCACAAGGTTTTCATACACTGTTGCTGGTATTTTGGCCCATTCCTCCATGCAGATCTCCTCTAGAGCAGTGATGTTTTGGGGCTGTCGCTGGGCAACACAGACTTTCAACTCCCTCCAAAGATTTTCTATGGGGTTGAGATCTGGAGAATGGCTACTCCAGGACCTTGAAATGCTTCTTACGAAGCCACTCCTTCGTTGCCCGGGCGGTGTGTTTGGGATCATTGTCATGCTGAAAGACCCAGCCACGTTTCATCTTCAATGCCCTTGCTGATGGAAGGAGGTTTTCACTCGAAATCTCACGATACATGGCCCCATTCATTCTTTCCTTTACACGGATCAGTCGTCCTGGCCCCTTTGCAGAAAAACAGCCCCAAAGCATGATGTTTCCACCCCCATGCTTCACAGTAGGTATGGTGTTCTTTGGATGCAACTCAGCATTCTTTGTCCTCCAAACACGACGAGTTGAGTTTTTACCAAAAAGTTCTATTTTGGTTTCATCTGACCATATGACATTCTCCCAATCCTCTTCTGGATCATCCAAATGCACTCTAGCAAACTTCAGACGGGCCTGGACATGTACTGGCTTAAGCAGGGGGACACTTCTGGCACTGCAGGATTTGAGTCCCTGGCGGCGTAGTGTGTTACTGATGGTAGGCTTTGTTACTTTGGTTCCAGCTCTCTGCAGGTCATTCACTAGGTCCCCCCGTGTGGTTCTGGGATTTTTGCTCACCGTTCTTGTGATCATTTTGACCCCACAGGGTGAGATCTTGCGTGGAGCCCCAGATCGAGGGAGATTATCAGTGGTCTTGTATGTCTTCCATTTCCTAATAATTGCTCCCACAGTTGATTTCTTCAAACCAAGCTGCTTACCTATTGCAGATTCAGTCTTCCCAGCCTGGTGCAGGTCTACCATTTTGTTTCTGGTGTACTTTGACAGCTACTTTGACTATGGTCTTGGCCATAGTGGAGTTTGGAGTGTGACTGTTTGAGGTTATGGACAGGTCTTTTATACTGATAACAAGTTCAAACAGGTGCCATTAATACAGGTAATGAATGGAGGACAGAGGTGCCTCTTAAAGAAGAAGTTACAGGTCTGTGAGAGCCAGAAATCTTGCTTGTTTGTAGGTGACCAAATACTTATTTTCCACCATAATTTGCAAATAAATTCCTTAAAAATCCTACAATGTGATTTTCTGGATTTTTTTTCCTCAATTTGTCTGTCATAGTTAACGTGTACCTATGATGAAAATTACAGGCCTCTCTCATCTTTTTAAGTGGGAGAACTTGCACAATTGGTGGCTGACTAAATACTTTTTTACCCCACTGTATATACACACTTCCAGTCAAAGGTTTGGACACACCTACTCACACCTACTAATTTTTACTATTTTCTACATTGTAGAATAATAGTGAAGACATCAAAACTATGAAATAACAGATATGGAATCATGTAGTAACCAAAAAAAGTGTTCAACAAATCAAAATGTATTTTAGATTTTAGATTCTTCAAAGTAGCCACCCTTTGCCTTGATGACAGCTTTGCACACTCTTGGCATTCTCTCAACCAGCTTCACCTGGAATGCTTTTCCAACAGTCTTGAAGGAGTTCCCACATATGCTGAGAACTTGTTGGCTGCTTTTCCTTCACTCTGCCGTCCGACTCATCCTAAACCATCTCAATTGGGTTGAGGTCGGGGGATTGTGGAGGCCAGGTCATCTGATGCAGCACTCCATCACTCTCCTTCTTGGTAAAATATCCCTTACACACCCTGGAGGTGTGTTGGGTCATTGTCCTGTTGAAAAACAAATGATAGTCCCACTAAGCGCAAACCAGATGGGATGGCGTATCGCTGCAGAATGTTGTGGTAGCCATGCTGGTTAAGTGTGCTTTAAATTCTAAATAAATCACTAACAGTGTCACCAGCAAAGCCCCCCCCCCACACCATCGCACCTCCTCCTCCATGCTTCACGGTGGGAACCAAACATGCAGAGATCTTCCATTCACCTACTCTGCGTCTCACAAAGACATGGCGGATCTCAAATTTGGACTCATCAGACCAAAGGACATATTTCCACTGGTCTAATGTCCATTGCTCATGTTTCTTAGCCCAAGCAAGTCTCTTCTTGTTATTGGTGTCCTTTAGTAGTGGTTTCTTTGCAGCAATTTGACCATGAAGGCCTGATTCACACAGTCCCCTATGAACAGTTGATGTTGAGATGTGTCTGTTACTTGAACTCTGTGAAGCATTTATTTGGGCTGCAATTTCTGAGGCTGGTAACTCTATTGAACTTATCCTCTGCAGCAGAGGTAACTCTGGGTCTTCCATTCCTGTGGTGGTCCTCATGAGAGCCAGTTTCATCATAGCGCTTGATGGTTTTTGCGACTGCACTTTAAGAAACGTTCAAAGTTCTTGACATTTTCCGGATTGGCTGACCTTCATCTCTTAAAGTAATGATGGACTGTCGTTTCTCTTTGCTTATTTTAGCTGTTCTTGCCATAATATGGACTTGGTCTTTTACCAAATAGGGCTATCTTCTGTATACCTCCCCTACCGTGTCACAACACAACTGATTGGCTCAAACACATTAAGTTAACACACAAATTAACTTTTAACAAGGCACACCTGTTAATTGAAATGCATTCCAGGTGACTACCTCATGAAGCTGGTTGAGAGAATGCCAAGAGTGTGTAAAGCTGTCATCAAGGCGAAGGGTTGCTACTTTGAAGAATCTCAAATATAAAATATATTTTGATTTGTTTAACACTTTTTAGGTTACTACATGATTCCATATGTGTTATTTCATAGTTTTGATGTCTTCAATATTATTCTAGAATGTAGAAAATAGTAAAAATAAAGACAAACCTTTGAATGAGTAGGTGTGTCCAAACTTTGGACTGGTACTGTATATTTTCCATACATACTAAGATATTAAGATATAATTCTGATGAAAGGTTGTTGGCAGAATGGCAAAAAGAGTATAATAATACATGTTTTAAACATTTATAATACTGAGGAGCAGTCTAGCTGCTACTTTTAATAATCAACCAATCAGCGAGATGCTCAGGCTAGATGACAACGTCCCCCTACCTTGTGTAGGGCGGGTCCCATGACGGGAACCAGGAAGCCGTTGTGAACGTAATCCACCAGCTGCCTGCGGACCAGGGGGTGTGCCACCTGGATGACAGCGTTGCAGAACTCCAGAGAGTTCATAAAGAGCATCAGGGAGGACACGCCCATCCAGTCCTCCCTCCGCAGAGCGTGCCAGTCATCCCCCCGTACCTCTATCTTCCTAGGCAGAGAGGAGTAGAGAGCACTGAGTCCTGTGGCCAGCACCTGGAGGTGGGAGGAGAGGAAGAGGGGAGGAGGTTGTTAGTGGGTGTTTAGGACTGAATTAAAGAGGAAAAGGGTAGACACTATTTAACTGTAACTCCACCTGTAACTGATATTTTCCAAAAAAATGGCCTTAAATGATAAAGTAATTCTGATGTATTTTTTTACATAGTGGTGAAGCCAGTCCACAAGGTGGCGCAGCGCCCCTCTTAATTTTTTTGGGGAGAACCCTGTGTAGTGCGAGCTAGCCTCTGAGATAAAGCCCCATCTACAGCCTGACATTACCATGGGAATCAACTGGACAAGCCCTTTTCTGACCGGGGTCATGAATCATGATCTCACACACTCACACAGCTCAGAGAAGTCAGCTCAGAAGTCAGCTCAGACAGATCCAGCTAATTTCTATTCACATTTACATTTACATTTTAGTCATTTAGCAGACGCTCTTATCCAGAGCGACTTACAGTTAGTGAGTGCATACATTTTATTTATTTATTTTTTATACTGGAATCAAACCCACAACCCTGGCATTACAAATGCCATGCTCTACCAACTGAGCTACATCCCTGCCGGCCATTCCCTCCCCTACCCTGGACGACGCTGGGCCAATTGTGCGCCGCCCCATGGGTCTCCCGGTCGCGGCCGGCTACGACAGAGCCTGGATTCGAACCAGGATCTCTAGTGGCACAGCTAGCACTGCAATGCAGTGCCTCACTGCACCACTCGGGAGGAGTACTATTGACATAGTACTAGCTCAAAACATTTTCATTCTTAAAAAATGACCAGTTAATCAGTGGGTGATGGTGATTTCAGATCAAATGACCAGTTAATCAGTGGGTGATGGTGATTTCAGATCAAATGACCAGTTAATCAGTGGGTGATGGTGAGTTCAGATCAAATGTGTGTGTGGGGGGGGGGGGGGGGGGGGACATTGGGGTGGTAGATGCTCAGTCTGCCCAATGTCTCAGCTCAGGGGCCTACTCACACCATTGGCATTAACACACACACACTTCTTCCTCTTATGAGAGCTCATCCGTGAGTCCATTGGCACAGAGTTGGGGAGGGCAGCCAATAGGGTCGGGTCACAGCATCCAGCCAGCCCAGAGGAGGAGGAGAGGAGGAGGAGGAGGAGGAGGAGGAGGAGGAGGATAGGTACAGGGAGGAGAGGAGGAGGAGGAGGAGAGGTACAGGAGAGGAGGAGGAGGAGGAGGAGGAGGAGAGGTACAGGAGAGGAGGAGGAGGAGATACAGGGAGGAGAGGAAGAGGAGGAGGAGAGGAGGAGAGGAGGAGGAGGAGGAGGAGGAGAGGTACAGGAGAGGAGGAGGAGGAGGAGGAGGAGGAGGAGAGGTACAGGAGAGGAGGAGGAGGAGATACAGGGAGGAGAGGAAGAGGAGGAGGAGGAGGAGGAGAGGAGGAGGAGAGAGGTACAGGAGAGGAGAAGGAGGAGGAGGAGGAGAGGAGGAGGAGAGAGGTACAGGAGAGGAGGAGGAAGGAGGAGAGAGGTACAGGAGAGGAGTGCTAACCACATACAGCACAGAGACAGACAGAGCAGTAACAGACAGACAGACAGACAGACAGACAGACAGACAGACAGACAGACAGAGCAGTAACAGACAGACAGACAGACAGACAGACAGAGCAGTAACAGACAGACAGACAGAGCAGTAACATAGTTAGGCTGAAACCCACACACACCCACACACACACGGCAAGCAGAGCAGACGTAAACATCAGTAAAACAGACAGTGAATACACCTCAGTAATCTAAATCTAATATAGTCTTTAATCTGATCCAAACAGATATTAGCGGTTCCACGTGTTCTGAGGCAGGCAGCATGTCACAAAAAACATGGCTGTGTAAACTGCTTTCACATGCAGTAGGCTGCTCTGACTGTAGAATAGAGGGAGAAAACACACACACACACACACACACACACACACACACACACACACACAATGTTTAGCATGAAACGGAGTGGAATGTTATCTTAACAGACTGATCCTACCCAGGCTACCACCACATACCAGCCAGGTCATGCTATGTGTCACATCAAATGGAGCATCATGTGCTGCTGCTTCTGATACAAATGTTATGGTACATTATATGACAGCCTACATCTGCTTATATCATATGGCCTAACCCTCAACATATGGCCTAACCCTCAACCTATGGCCTAACCCTCAACCATATGGCCTAACCCTCAACCTATGGCCTAACCCTCAACCTATGGCCTAACCCTCAACCTATGGCCTAACCCTCAAACCTATGGCCGAACCCTCAACCGATAGGGCCACCCTCAACTATGGCCTAACCCTCAACCTATGGCCTAACCCTCAACATATGGCCTAACCCTCAACCTATGGCCTAACCCTCAACCTATGGCCTAACCCTCAACCTATGGCCTAACCCTCAACCTATGGCCTAACCCTCAACCTATGGCCTAACCCTCAAACTATGGCCTAACCCTCAACCTATGGCCTAACCCTCAACCTATGGCCTAACCCTCAACCTATGGCCTAACCCTCAACCTATGGCCTAACCCTCAACCTATGGCCTAACCCTCAACCTATGGCCTAACCCTCAACCTATGGCCTAACCCTCAACATATGGCCTAACCCTCAACCTATGGCCTAACCCTCAACATATGGCCTAACCCTCAACATATGGCCTAACCCTCAACCTATGGCCTAACCCTCAACCTATGGCCTAACCCTCAACCTATGGCCTAACCCTCAACCTATGGCCTAACCCTCAACCTATGGCCTAACCCTCAACCTATGGCCTAACCCTCAACCTATGGCCTAACCCTCAACCTATGGGCAACATATGGCCTAACCCTAACCCTTACATAGTCCTGTGTAGCTCAGTTGGTAGAGCATGGCGCTTGCAACGCCAGGGTTGTGGGTTCGATTCCCACGGGGGACTAGTATGGAAAAAAAGTATGCAAATGTATGTAAGTCTCTCTGGATAAGAGCGTCTGCTAAATGACGTGAATGTAATGTAAATAACCCTCAACATATGCATGAATACTAGTGCTACAGAACAGTAGCAGTCAAACTGTACGGTCTGCAGCAGGGGGTTCAAGCAAAACTGTCAGCCAAAGGGGAAGCTCCAACTGGTCCAGTAACCTCACTGACTCAGGCTCAAAGGGTCAAAGGGTACACATCAGAGTGACAGGACCAATATGAAACTATCTGACGGTTTAGCAAGAGAAGTGTTGATAAGACGTGCTGCTATCTATCAGTTAGAGGGCTGGCTGAAGGAAGAGGAAGCTGCACCACAGACTTCTCTGTCCTCTTATCTCACACACACAGTCATCATCATCAGCATGTGCCTGTCAGTCGGAAGGAAGGAAGGAAGGAAACAGTGGTTCCAGATCCTCAGTGAGATACAATCAGCCCACAGACAAAGTTAGTGAAGGAAATATTGAATTAATCATGGGTTTAGAAAAACATGTAGCGCTTTGTCATGCTGTTTATTCAAGCTCTGGGTTTTCCTCATAATCCTTTCAAATGATGGCACAGAATCCAGATAATCCACAAAGACTTGTAAAGGTCTCCTGTAGCCAACTTGATTTTCTAAGATTTTCTTCACACCACCAGTGAAAGAGGTAACATACACTACCGTTCAAAAGTTTGGGGTCACTTAGAAATGTCCTTGTTTTCGAAAGAAAAGCATTTTTTTGTCCATTAAATTAACATCAAATTGATCAGAAATACAGTGTAGACCTTGTTAATGTTGTAAATGGCTATTGTAGCTGGAAACTGCAGATTTTTTATGCAATATTTACATAGGCGTACACAGGCCTGGCCTTCTTGAGACTAGTTGAGTATCTGGAGCATCAGCAATTGTGGGTTCGATTACAGGCTCAAAATGGCCAGAAACAAATAACTTTCTTCTGAAACTCGTCAGTCTATTCTTGTTCTGACAAATGAAGGCTATTCCATGTGAGAAATTGCCAAGAAACTGAAGATCTCGTACAACGCTGTGTACTACTCCCTTCACAGAACAGCCCAAACTGGCTCTAACCAGAATAGAAAGAGGAGTGGGAGGCCCCGGTGCACAACTGAGCAAGAGGACAAATACATTTGAGTGTCTAGTTTGAGAAACAGACGCCTCACAGGTCCTCAACTGGCAGCTTCATTAAATAGTACCCGCAAAACAACCAGTCTCAACGTCAACAGTGAAGAGGCGACTCCGGGATGCTGACCTTCTAGGCAGAGTTGCAAAGAAAAAGCCATATCTCAGACTGGCCAACTAAATCTTTTATTTTTATTGGCCAGTCTGAGATATGGCTGTATAGCACTTTGTGACAACTGCTGATGTAAAAAGGGCTTTATAAAATACATTTGATCAATTGATTGATCACTCACCGGGCAGAAGTAGGAGTTCTCTGCGATGTAGCATGCCACGCCCTGGTTGCTGGCGGAGGTTGCCATGACGAGGAGCAGGGCGTCGCGGGCCTGCTGTCCGATGGCCCCGTCACGGTGGAGGAAGGGGATCAGCAGGGAGAAGATGAGCAGGTTGGTTGGACCCTGTTGGGCCGGCGCCGTCCTGAACAACAGCTCCAACACCGCAGGAGCACGCGCCATCGACACACAGATCTGGTGATGGGGACCAGAATATCTTGTTCAGTTCATGAAAACACATAAAAACAACACAATGCCCACCACCTAAGCCCCTTTACAAGCCAGGAGAAACCTTTAGACATTATATGGATTCGAAAAGGTTAAAACAGCAGAAAACGTTAGTCCATGTTACTTTTTCAGATGAGATCAAATCAGTAACGTCAGAAGATAGCCTGATGGCATCCATGCCTCCATGATCAACGCTCCTTTCAAATCAATCAAAAGTATTTTATGAAGCCCCCTTTTTTTCGATCAGCAGTTGTCAAAGTGCTTTACAGATACCCAGCCTGAAACCCCAAAGAGCAAGCAATGCAGAAGCAGAAGCTCAGTGGAAAAAACTCTCTAGAAAAGGCAGGAACATTGAGAGGATTTGATGTAACGATTCACCAAAATGCATCGATCCCTGGTTCAAATGTTTAAGATGCGAGTGCAACGGTGGCACAGGAGCCCAAACAGATCCAAATGAAGCATGCATCGGTAAGAAAACGGATTGAAACGTTACACGAATCGCCGGTACAATGAACGTTATTTAATCATATATATTTTTATTTTTTGGGGGGGGGGCCTTATTTCCGAAAATACCTCTAATCTGTTGTGACTGAATTGATGAGTCCATGTACCTGCGTATTACATGAATCTACAAGTCAGAGAACTGTGCGCACAGTGTGGGAGACACAGCTGCTGGCGCCAACCAGAGTGGCTTTCGCAATGTCAAATCATAGGCTTTATTCGTTGAGTGACAACCAATGTAATTTGCTGGGTCATTGTTACGAAATGCGCTGTAGAAAATGGGTGTTTTACCGGCGGAGCTGTGTAGGGCTACCGGAGTGGACTCATATCTAACTGCTGATTGGGGCTTTTCCATTACCAGGTTCACCGTACTAAATATTTTTGGTAGTTCTGCTTTAAACAGTCAGTGCATTTGGTCATTTTTACATCAACATGGTAAAGGTTTAATTTCATAACAAGGACAGCGAGCCGCACTGGTCAGAATGGGAAAAGAGAGCAGCTCTCCTCCGTAAAGTTCAAAATGGTCAAAACCATTCGCTTTGAGACGGGTGAAATCCAAAGCTGCATTATATTAATTGGCTATGTACAAAACATTATGAACACCTGTTCTTTCCATGACATAGACTGACCAGTTGAATCCAGTGAAAGCTGGATGTCACTTGTTAAATCCACTTCAAATCAGTGTAGATGAAAGAAGGATTTTTAAGCCTTGAGATATTTGAGACATGGATTGTGTATGTGTGCCATTCAGAGGGAGAATGGGAAAGACAAAATATTTAAGTGCCTTTGAACGAGGTATGGTAGTAGGTGCCAGGCACACTGGTTTGTGTCAAGAACTGCAACGCTGCTGGGTTTTTCACGCTCAACAGTTTCCCGTGTGTATCAAGAACGGTCCACCAACCAAAGGACATCCAGCCAACTTGACACAACAGTGTGAAGCATTGGAGTCCACATGGAGCCAGCATCCCTGTGGAACGCTTTCGACACCTTGTAGAGTCATTGCTCCGGACGAACTGAGGCTGTTTGCAGGGAAAAGGGGGGATGTGCAACTCAATATTAGGAAGGTGTTCTTAATGTTTTGTACACTCAGTGTATGTCATAGCTAATTTCTAAAGATAAATATTTACATATTACTAGCTCAAAACATTTTTATCCGCTAAATGACAAGTTAATCTGTGGGGATGAGGATTTCAGATAAAAAGTGGGGGAACAAAAACATAAATTGCCCCTCCCCCTCCAATCTGATAGTGGTAGATGCTATCTGGCTTATGGTCAGCTTACACACACACACACACACACACACACACACACACACACACACACAGCTCAGCTTCTGATCTCCATCAGTATCAGATATTAATTTAGAATGGAAAATGAATGTGTTCTTGCAACAATTGCTAGTGCATCGAATCGTATCGAACAGTTTCAAAACTAGAAGTATCATTCCTGTATCGTATCAGAGCCCATTTAACTAGACAGGTATTGAATCGTGCTTGTGAGGAGAGATGAATATCCTTACTAGAGAGGAAGCTCTTTTCCACTGTTCCACCCACCTGGTTGAGCAGCAGCACCAGGCTGTTCTCCAGAGAGGGAGGACAGCCCAGCTGGGGATCAGTACAGGCCCCCAGCAGGCCCAGCAGAGGCTGCAGCACCGCCTTGTGTTGGAGCAGGGGCTGCTGAGAATGGCCTATCAGCATCTCAAACAGCTTGAGTAGCGCCCCCTGGCTGTCGGGGTCCAATCCACGACGCAGGTGCCACTGCACCACACGCTCCAGGACGTTCTCAGTCACCACCAGGTCCAGGATGGGGCCCATGGGGGGGACGTTATCGGACGTTACCGCCCCGGAAGGGCCCTCGCCCCCCTCCCCCGGTCGCTCCTCAGCCAGGAGGCACAGCATCTGATCGGTGTGGTTCCGCACCGCGGTGAGGTCATCATTAGAACCTGATGGGTCCTGTTGCTCCAGCACCCAGGACAACTATAGCAGAGGGAGAGAGGAGGAGGGAGAGAGGAGGAGGGAGAGAGGAGGAGGGAGAGAGGAGGAGAGGTGGAGGGAGGAAGGGAGAGAGGACGCGAGGAGAGAGGAGGAGGGAGAGAGGAGGAGAGGTGGAGGGAGAGAGGTGGGAGGAGAGGAGAGAGGTGGATGGAGAGAGGAGGGAGGAGAGGGAGGAGAGGTGGCAGGGAGGAGAGGGGGAGAGGTGGAGGGAGAGCGGTGGATGGAGAGAGGTGGTATGGAGAGAGGAGGGAGGAGAGGGGATGGATGAGAGGTGGTGGAGGGAGAGAGGAGGAGGAAAGGAGGAGGACAGGACGATGAGTGGAGGAGAGGTGGAGGCGAGAGAGGAGCAGAGGTGGCGGGAGAGAGGAGGGAGGAGAGAGGAGGATGGAGGGGAGGGAGAGAGGCGGAGGGGAGAGAGGAGGGGAGGATGAGAGGAGGAGGGAGAGGGGGAGGGAGGAGGAGGAGGAGAGGGGCGGGAGAGAGGAGGAGAGGTGGAAGGAGGAGGAGAGGTGGAGGGAGAGAGAGGAGGGAGGAGGAGGGAGGAGAGGTGGAGGGAGAGAGGGGAGGAGAGAGGTGGAGGGAGGAGGAGGAGAGGTGGAGGAGAGAGGTGGAGGAGGAGAGGAGGGTGGAGGGAGAGAGGACGGAGAGAGGTGGAGGGAGAGAGGTGGATGGAGAGAGGAGGAGAAGTGGAGGGAGAGAGGAGGGAGAGAGGTGGAGGGCGAGAGAGGTGGAGGGAGAGAGGGAGGAGGGAGAGAGGAGGAGGAGGAGAGAGGAGGGAGAGGTGGAGGGAGAGAGGAGGGAGGAGAGAGGAGGAGAGGTGGAGGGAGAGAGGAGGAGGGAGAGAGGTGGAGGGAGGGAGGAGGAGGGAGAGAGGTGGAGGGAGGGAGGAGGAGGGAGAGAGGAGGGAGGGAGGAGAGGAGGAGAAGTGGAGGGAGAGAGATGGACTGGATTTCATTACTAAATACTAACTGCATTGTTCCATCAACCATTCAGTCTTAACATTGTTCACATAGTTAAAAAAACACAGTGTTTTTGTGATACCCGAAGTGTGTGTGTGTGTGTGTGTGTGTGTTAACATGTCTGTTGTTGACGCCTAACAGTCAGAGAAAGCCTGCAGAATGACCAGTGAACAAGCAGCCCAGAGATGAACGTGCTGCTTAGCAGGAAGCCTGTTTCTAGACTGAGAGAGGTCTGCTTGTGTCATGTCATGTTGTGGTGGTTTGGGTGTATGTTGTGGGGGTGGTGTGTAATGTTTTTGGTGTGTTGTGGTGTGGTGGTTTTGGGAATGTTTGTGGGGTGTTGGTGTAATTTGGGGGGTGTGGTTGTGTAAAGTTGTGGTGTGTTGTGCAATAAGTTGTGGTGGTGTGTGTCAATGTTGTGGTGGTTGGTAATGTTGTGGTGTGTGGTAATGCTTGTGGTGTGTTGTGTAATGTTGGGTGTTGTATGTTGTTGGTTGGTTGTTTGTAATGTTGGGGTGTGTTGTGTATGTTGTGGGTGTGTTGGATGTTTTGGTGGTTGGTGGTAAAGTGGTGGGTGGGTTGTGGGTTTTGTGTTTTCTGTTTGGGGGTTTGTGGGGTGGGTTTGGTGTAATGTTGGGGGGTGTGTTGTGTAATGGTGGGTGTGGTTCGTGTTAATGTGTTGTTGTTGGTGTGGTAATGTTGTGGGGTTTTTGTGGGTTGTAAAGGGTTGTGGTGTTTGTGGTTGTGGTCTGTGGTGGTTGTTGTGGTGTGTTGTGTAAAGTTGTGGTGTGTTTTGGGGGGTGTGTGTGGGTGTTGTGTATGTTGGTTGTGTGTTGTAAGGGTTTTGGTGTGTTTTGTTATGTTTGTGTGGTGTGTTGTTAATGTTGTGGTGTGTTTGGGTTGTTGGGGTGTTTGGTAATGTTGTGGGGGTGTTGTGTATGGTGTGGTGTGTTGGTTGTGGTGTGTTGTGTAATGTTTGTGGTGGTGGTTGTGTATGTTGTGTGGTTTTGTAATGTTTTGGGTGTGTGGTGTTAGTTTGTGGTGGTGTTGTGGTGTGGTGGTGATTTGTTGTTTTTGTGTTTGGGGGTGTGGTGTTGGTTTGTGGTGTGTGTGGGGGTGTGTTGGTGTGGTGTGTTGTGTATGTTGTGGGGGTGTGTGTAAAGTTGTGTTTTGTTGGGTTGTGTGGGTGTTGGTATGTTGGTTGGGTGGTTGTATGTTTTTGGTGTGTTGTGTAAAGTTGTGTTGGTTTGGGAGTTGTTGTTTTGGGGGTGTTTTTTGGTGTTTTGTGTGTTGGGTGGTTTTGTTGTGTGTTGGTGTGTGTTGTGGTGTGTAATGTTTTGTTTTGTTGTGGGAAAGTTGTGGTTGTGTTGTGTATATTGTGGGTGTGTTGTGGTGTGTTGTGGTGTGTTGTGTATTGGTTGTGTTGGGGTTGTGTCATGTTGTGTTTGTGTATGTTGTGTTTTGTGTGTGGTCATATTGTGGTGTGTTGTGGTGTGTGGTAATGGTTGTGTTGTTGTGGGTCATGTTGTGGTGTGTCATGTTGTGGTGTGTTGTGTCATGTTGTGTTGTGTTGTGTCATATTGTGGTGTGTTGTGGTGTGTCATGGTGTGTTGTGTTGTGTTGTGTCATGTTGTATCATGTTGTGGTGTGTTGTGGTGTGTCATGGTGTGTTGTGTTGTGTTGTGTCATGTTGTGTCATGTTGTGGTGTTGTTGTGGTGTGTTGTGGTGTGTTGTGGTGTGTTGTGTCATGTTGTGGTGTGTTGTGTCATGTTGTGGTGTGTTGTGTCATGTTGTGGTGTTTGCTCTGCTCTCCAGAGGCCCACAGGGTTCTATAGGCCCTGGTCAAAAGTAGTGCGCTACATAGTGAATAGGGTGCCATTTCAGACGCATCCAGTGTGCTGCCTTCAGTGATTCCAGAGCCCTGGCAGTAGAACACCCTGCTGTCTTCAGTGATTCCAGAGCCCTGGCAGTAGAACATCCTGCTGCCTTCAGTGATTCCAGAACCCTGGCAGTAGAACATCCTGCTGCCTTCAGTGATTCCAGAGCCCTGGCAGTAGAACATCCTGCTGCCTTCAGTGATTCCAGAACCCTGGCAGTAGAACACCCTGCTGCCTTCAGTGATCCAGGAACCCTGGCAGTAGAACATCCTGCTGTCTTCAGTGATTCCAGAACCCTGGCAGTAGAACACCCTGCTGTCTTCAGTGATTCCAGAGCCCTGGCAGTAGAACACCCTGCTGCCTTCAGTGATTCCAGAACCCTGGCAGTAGAACACCCTGCTGTCTTCAGTGATTCCAGAGCCCTGGCAGTAGAACACCCTGCTGCCTTCAGTGATTCCAGAACCCTGGCAGTAGAACACCCTGCTGCCTTCAGTGATTCCAGAACCCTGGCAGTAGAACATCCTGCTGTCTGCAGTGATTCCAGAACCCTGGCAGTAGAACACCCTGCTGTCTTCAGTGATTCCAGAGCCCTGGCAGTAGAACACCCTGCTGTCTGCAGTGATTCCAGAACCCTGGCAGTAGAACACCCTGCTGTCTGCAGTGATTCCAGAACCCTGGCAGTAGAACACCCTGCTGTCTGCAGTGATTCCAGAACCCTGGCAGTAGAACACCCTGCTGTCTTCAGTGATTCCAGAACCCTGGCAGTAGAACATCCTGCTGTCTTCAGTGATTCCAGAGCCCTGGCAGTAGAACACCCTGCTGTCTTCAGTGATTCCAGAACCCTGGCAGTAGAACATCCTGCTGTCTTCAGTGATTCCAGAGCCCTGGCAGTAGAACATCCTGCTGTCTTCAGTGATTCCAGAGCCCTGGCAGTAGAACATCCTGCTGTCTTCAGTGATTCCAGAGCCCTGGCAGTAGAACACCCTGCTGTCTTCAGTGATTCCAGAACCCTGGCAGTAGAAACATCCTGCTGTCTTCAGTGATTCCAGAGCCCTGGCAGTAGAACATCCTGCTGTCTTCAGTGATTCCAGAGCCCTGGCAGTAGAACATCCTGCTGTCTTCAGTGATTCCAGAACCCTGGCAGTAGAACACCCTGCTGCCTTCAGCGATTCCAGAACCCTGGCAGTAGAACATCCTGCTGTCTGCAGTGATTCCAGAACCCTGGCAGTAGAACACCCTGCTGTCTTCAGTGATTCCAGAGCCCTGGCAGTAGAACACCCGGCTGTCTGCAGTGATTCCAGAACCCTGGCAGTAGAACATCCTGCTGTCTTCAGTGATTCCAGAACCCTGGCAGTAGAACACCCTGCTGCCTTCAGCGATTCCAGAACCCTGGCAGTAGAACATCCTGCTGTCTGCAGTGGAAAACCACTCTGCTAATACTGCTGTTGCACACAGAGCGAGGGTGCCTTCCATGGAGTCTTTCTCTGGCCGTTTTTAACATGGTCTAACAACAGTCATATGATGCAGACTAGGCCCAGAAAACCTCTGAGATACACAGCAAACAAGCCAAGCTGGAACGCCACCAGAGACTTGTGGGGGAAACACAGCTCCATGCAGTGCTAGGTCAGTAGAGGCCTTGATATGCTGCTTCTGCTGGTGACAAAATGGCCTCTCTTGGCATGATGTGACCGGCTGTTCAAGAAACTCTCTAAAAGGGACAATCAATAATCTACTGATGGGAGCTGGCAATGGTTCAAAGGCTAGTCCATCCTTCTTCACAGCCAGGCACACCCCCGTGTACACACCATGCAGGCACTTCACACATGCATTTCAACCTCCCACATACCAGTATACAATAAGGCTGAAAGACATGGAAAGTGCCTCCACTCTCCATACACATTTCTAAATGGTTTGATATACATGTAGACATGATTTTCTTGCAGCTTCACATGTGTAGTTACAGGAATAAAAGTTTAGATAGGCACAATGAGACCATAAGTCCACCTAGCAACAACACAATGAGACCATTAGTCCACCTAGCAACAACACAATGAGACCATAAGTCCACCTAGCAACAACACAATGAGACCATAGTCCCACCTTAGCAACAACACAATGAGACCATTAGTCCACCTAGCAACAACA